GGGCTGCCTGGCCCTGGCTGCCTCTGCAGGCACAGGGCCTGACTTCAGGGTCCTCTAGCAGTGCCCACTGCCAGCAGGACCAGGAGGGTGTGTTTGCCAGAAACCCTTTCTGGGGCAGCTGTTGGGCAGCGATGCCGCATAAACCTCCCCGTGCAGGGAGGATCAAGGAGTGCTGGTGGCACAGAGCGGGACGCACAAGAAATTTTCTACCCTGACCGAGACTAACTGCCAAACCACTGACTGCAAAGATATATGTTGCCTGTGCCCTGGTCAATCCCTTGTTTCATGAACTACGGTTTAGGCAAGTCCTGTTAGCAGCTGGGAGCTGCTTTCTGCTGAGTGCTGAGCAGTTTGGTGCAGGTTATGGGTTGTTGAGGGACTGACAAGAAGCGAGCGGGCTGTGATGGATGGGAGGCCAGCGCAGCCTCAGACAGCGCTGTTTGATGGAGCAAAGAACGTAAGTGCCAAAGATGATCTAAGCAGGAGGAGGAAGAAAAGGGCTACTGCTGTCAGATGTATATGACTGTTGGGGAGAAAAGCTTTCTTGTGATACCAAGTATACAGAAATTCAATAAGATCACTCCGAGTGTCAAAACATATTGCAGAGCAAACTATCCATAGCATGTGGCAGCACATGGGAATAAATGTAATCATAAAATAGTCAATAAGGTAGAGTGCAAACATAAAATAAATGTTATGCAGTCGACAAATGCAGAGATATTGTTAGTATCAGTAAATAACAAAATACTCAGTGCTCTGCCACAAGCACGATAAAGGGAAAATGCTTTGCATTCTTCTGAGAAAGTCACATTGACTGATAATGAGAAAGATACAGAAAGTAGTTTTATATCAAGGTTTAGACTGTGATTAGAGAGCGATCTGGAATGATTCTAAATTTCACAGAATCACAGAATGGTTGAATTTCATGGGCACTGGCTTGCAAAGGTATAATAAAGTCTTATTTGCTGTAAAAAAAAATGGTAGAAATATAACAGGGGCGAAACATAATTCCAGTTTAGAAAGATTTTTAAACCACCATCGGGCTTATTGGTTGAATCTGGGTAAATTTTCAGAATTTAGAGGATCTTGAGAGGAAGGATCCTCTTTTGTGAAAACTAAACTTTGTGTCATTTAGATGTCTAGATTTTAACTGTATTTTATTTAAGCACAAAATCATATAAAATAGAAAACCCTCAAGCCCATTTAAAATGAAAAATATTTTGGTGGTATTAGAAGTGGGACTGAAAATTGGAGGAAGGCAGAGAATCAAAGGCACATGGTGCTGCTAGAGGTAACAAACACATTAAAAACAGGAATTCTCCTAGAGAGATGACTGTGTAGGTAGGCAACCAAGGTATAAGAGCACTAAATGCTAAATTAATTGTTTCTATTGATGTTCAAAAAAGGAAGGCTAGAGAGATTGTTGCACTGCAACTGAGGGAGTTTCTGAACGTCTATTTGTGTTTGAAGATGCTTTAAAAGACATAAATAATAATGAGCAAAAACAAATCACCACAAGGTGGTATTCAACCAAAAAGCATATTAAAGGAGCTCAAATATAAAATTTTGGAATGAACAACTGTAACATGTAACCTGTCATTTACGTCAGCCTTGATGCCACAATAGAAGTTGTAACTGTGACACCAGTCTTTTAGAAAGGACTCTAGGGCTGATTCCTGTAATAGCACAATAAAGAGCAGACACATTTTAGGCTGTTGCAAAAACACTCCTCACATCTAGAGCCTCACATGCAGTTTTAGATTCACCTGCTTAAAAAATGTCACTGTAGAACTAGAAGAGCACAAGAACAATCCAAATGATTGGAGACATGACATGATTTCTCTATATGAAGAGACTAAACAGGTTAGCGTTTCCTGTATAGAAATCAGACAGGGGAGTGGGCATGACAAGTCTACATAATCATAAAGAGTTTAAAGCATGTAAATGGATGTAGGGATAGCGATGCATTACTCACTGTTTCTTCCAATCTAAGGAGGTACAGGCTTAACTGAATAAGAGGATTTAAACCAAAGAAAAGGAGGTATCTATCACTCAGGGGTGATTTAAATGTGAAATGTGTTGCCATAAGTTGTCACTGAAATCACTCTTGGGAAAGCTGGGGCTCTGCCCACGCAGCGGCCAGTTAGGCAGTGGTTCTGATGCAGGTTCCATTTTATTGCTGGAAATGGGGAAGGCAGA